GATCCCGTTGCCGGTCCCCGGTCCGGTATGGGGGCAACACTGAGGGTTGCGATTCGTTGATGGACATGGAAAAAGACAAAAAAAAAAGAAGAAGAAGAAGAAGATCAGACAGATGCTCTGACAAACGACTGTGCACTCTTGCACCAGGCAGGCCCGATTACTTCACTGGAATGTGAAATGGAACATCTATGTGCATGAAACACGCAGAAGTGCACACTGAACTACTTGAGGACAGGATTTTTTTTTTTTTTTTTACATGAAGGGAATGCACAATATAACTGGAAGTTTTTGTTTTGTTTTGAACCAAAGAAAAATATACCTTTCCCTTCAAACCGCTTTTACCTAAGGATACGTGTTTGTACCACCTGCTGAAAAGCACCGTCCTGCCAGAGACAGATGACTGGAGCACCTCACAGAAAGGACTGCCTTGTCACAGACAATAACCAGGGCTCCAGAGACAAAAAAGGAGTGAGATACTCTCAAATTAGCCATAAAGTATTCTTGTGGGGGAAACACACTTCTTAGACATCAAACATCAGTCACAGTAAGTTGCTCATTTTGAAAACCTGAACACCTAGGTATCATAAAAAAGAGGCACTTCAGTGTTTTATATACAGCTTGAAGCTAGTTAATGTTTTCCAAACAAAAGTAAGATTACCAAATGACTAAAATTTATCCACACTTTATAGCATTTCTTTAGTGTGTAAACAAAAAAAGAAAGCAAATTTTTCAAAGAAAATAAAGATCAATATTTAAAAGTTCAGGAGAAGTAAAAATAAAATCCCCAAAAAGGACCACTATTACCATCCAACGTGCATACAAGAGGCTCTTCCTCCCTCAACAGTAGGTGAACATGCTTTACAAAGTACTGACATTTTATGCTCATATATAACCTTTGCTTTTTCAGTATTTAATTTGTTTACTTTTTTAAATTTAATAATAAAAGAAGTTTAGTTTGCCAAGTTAAACAAAATCTAACATATGACCTTTGGAAGATTCACCTTACCTCCTGGACTGCAGTTTTCTGCAACAGAAGGGAGCTGCACAACTGCTACATTCTCGTGGGTCACAGACAGTACATGTGTTACATCCGAAAGAAACAACTACAACTGGGGTTGGCATGAAAATAGTTTTGGGGCAAAAAACTGCAAAATCCTTACTGGTATTTTATGGGACAGCATCAAAAATTCACATCTCCAGTTTCAGCAAAACATGGACTATAGTTGATGGACATTTCTGCAATAAGGCAAACAAATGTACAGTCCCTGCATGTGGCTACCAACGAAACACAGTATGCGTGGGCGTTCATTTCACAATGAAAAGAGAAGTCCAAATATGAAATATAGGCACAAAGTGGATTATCTATTCTTTTTAATATGGAAAGGACTAAACAACTTGATGGTATATACTAATAAAAACCCTCTGGGACTTTGCAAACTCTAAGCAGCTCAGGTGGTAGCAGTGTGGTCTGCGCACATGTGCAACATAGCTCGGCCTCACTCCACCTCCTCCTGGCTCTCTGTCAGGTGGCCTTTGCTTTGCCGTCTGATGCTCACCAGCTTCCCCGCTGACCGGAGGCTCCACCTTGAACTGTTTGCGGAGCTGGCCAGGCTAGTGTACTTTGTTGAGCCCTTGGTGTCATCCTCCCAGCCTGGCCATGACAGGCGGTCACTCGAGGCATCCTCTGAATCAGCTGATACATCTTCAAGAACAAGTTTTGGAGGCTCCCAACCTTCAATTTCATCTGGTTTTTTGGACTGTATATTCTGTTTCAAAACCAAATTGTCCCAAAATCCAGACTTCTTCTCTGTCTTTGACTCTTCTTTTAATCGTAAATTAGTTCTATAGGAAATGAAAGAGTTAAGTGTTGGTGTCAATTTTATGAAGTTTTTTTTTTTAATTTTAAATTGTTTAGAAAGCTAACACACACAAATGTGTAAAGTTTTAAATATTAAAGTTAAGGAAAAATTAGTCACCACACATTTGTTAATGAAGCTAGTAAAAGCCATTTTTACGATACCACCTGGCAATACATAAGCAAAAAACTAGTTTTCAGAAAAGACACACAAAAGTATTATCATAAAAGGGCACTTTTTAAGGCCATATAAAGGTAGTGAGCAAGCATTTGAGCAAACCAGGTCCAGATTAAGAAATAAGGGAGGAAAACTATTCCATTTACCAAATAGGTTTTCAATAGGGTTATTCATACAGCAAGCTAGTGTCAAGCATCTAGGAAGTAATTTGCTCAACAAAAATAAGAATTCAGAATAACAAAGCTTGGTGTAGGCCAGTGCTCTCCACCTTGACTGTCTGCAAGCGTCACCAGCATCCAGATCTTACCCCTGGAGATGCTGACGTATCAGCTGAAATCGGACAAGGTTCCACGGTCCTCAAACAAAAGCAAATTCTTTACTTGCAGAATCTTGTACCAAGATTCATCTTCTAATCAAGTAACTCTTCGTATCACTGATCACACATACTGCTGGTAGTCACTGAATTTGTATTTTTAACTTTACACTTTTTAAATTTTTAAAATATATATAGTAAAGTAGCAGCAATATGTCAGTTTAAATCTATTTAATTTTCTAAAATCTTTACAGATTGCAAATCAATCCTTCGCATTTCTAACAGTGCTTTTCTTTATTTTCTGAAACTACTAAAAATCTTAAGCATGGCTACAGACTGCTTTACAGCTAATATATTAGTTCAATTTACAATTCCAAGTTCTTTTTCACTTTTCCATAACCTTTCAATATGCTTATAGTTACCCTCATGACCTTTTACCAAAAGTACATTTTACTTTATTTCCTCTCCAGAATATCAAAAAATACAATTTATTTTTGTTTATTCACAAGGAGGAAGTAAACCCTAATGGTCTTATAGCCCAACTACTATCTACCACTCAACAGGGACAGACAGAGGGAGAAAGACAGAGGGATTTACCAAGTACAACAGCAGTTTTCAGTTAAACTTCACTTACACCACTAAAATCATTTCCACCTTCCTCAGTGACTTCTTACCTCTCTTGAAATTATTACTTTCTTTACACATTTGTGGCTTACCCTTTGGATTTGGGAGATTTACATCTTTCGAGTAGATGCTGTTCATCATCTTTATTAAACAGAGAAGTCACTTCTTTCCAACCTCGGAAACTTGCTCCCTGAACCTAGTAAAAGGTTAAGGAAAATGTCACATCTGACGCTATGAATCAAGAGATCTCAGTTTCCTATTGCAATAACCACTGGGTTGGAATTTCAGAAAAAAAAAAATGGAAGAGCTTACATCTCACCTCTCTATATTTGCACACACTTAAAGTTTGCTCCCGACAGCTACTATTAATCCAGATGGTATGGTATTACAGTCCTATCAGCTCATCAGTGTTGCTGAGTAACCCAGATTTCGTAACAGACTAGCCAATAATCACATTTTACCTAAAATAGGTTGTGATGATGACGTTTATAATCAGAGGAAACTTCCGATACAAGTCAGAATTAACTCTCTTTAAAACACAGGAGCCTGACCCTAGAGAAGGTTGCTATTGTCAGAGGTCACAAGGCAGGGGGATTCTCAGAGGACTCCCAGCAACCCTGCCACTATCTTTAGGCCTCAGCATTCGTGGGGATGGCAATTCAACTAGCCTATTCAACTAACCAGGTAACCCAGTGATTGTGGCCATCCAATAACTGAGGATTTACTGTGTGCAGCCCAGCACTGGGAAGGGACCAGATGCAAAGATGTCCTCAAAAACTAACCAGGGAACTACTGAGTGCCACTTTTTACTTGCACTAGACTGGACTGGGGAAACGAATTCCACTCTGGGCAGAGATCTGCATCTTTAGATTGGGGCCAGGCCCTCCCAACAGCTACCAGCTGGAGAGACATGAGTGTTTATGAATCAGGGCCTGGGACAGAAGCACAACTGCTATACCCACTCCAAAAGAAATCATAATGTGAATAAAACTAGGCATGAGGCATCAGTTTACCTCGTCACATGCTGTTTGAAATCCTGAAATGCGTGTGTGTGTGTGTTGAGTAAAGGACTGATGCTCCACAGGGTTCATGATGGAATCATGAGGCATCAGTTTACCTCGTCACATGCTGTTTGAAATCCTGAAATGCGTGTGTGTGTGTTGAGTAAAGGACTGATGCTCCACAGGGTTCATGATGGAATGGAGCCTCTGGCAGGAACCTATCAGGAAGTCTAAATTCATGAAGAACACAATGCTGGATTGTGAGCCACCTAGCCTCTGGAGGGAGCACCAAATGCAGTCACTATGTGTCAAGCAATGTTACATCATCCCCACCCACAAGTCACTGACTCTGAACACTAACCCCATAGAACAGACACTGTGATTATTACAAATAAGGAAACCAAAGTTTCAAGACCTTAAGTAACTTGACCAAAGCCAAAAGCAAGGAAGTGAAACTGTGGTTTGAATTCATGTCCTACCGCAGGTCTGTTCCATTCACTACTATGCCAGACCCTCCCCTCAAATACTGTGAGGTGCAAACCTGTGCTACACCTGATCAACCGACTCCCTCAAATCCTGCCATCAGTTTGTCTGTCTTTCTCTTGCTATAATGTCATCACTGCTTTTCAAATGTTATTTATTCCACATTCCATCTAAATGCCCTAGAGATGATTTCCCTTGGATCCCATTTCTGATACCATAATGAAAATCAACAGAAAAGGAGAATTATTGAAATTTAAATTACTACCCAGTGTTTTCATTGTTAGGAAGAAAAGACACATACACAAGTCCCTAGTTAATGAGCATCAAAGAAATGTCCCTGAAGAGGAAAAACCAACACATAGAAGGAAAATATATTGAGAGAGAAAAACTTCCAAAAGGAAGTTTTCCAAAACGGGTAAATGGATGGTCTTCACTTAGATCAAAAAATATAAATGTAAGTCACAATATCTGGGTGGGGGTGAACAAAGAACATAGGATTAAGATTGACAGGTCATAGGGGCAGAGGCAAGATGACTGACTAGAAGACTCTCCTGTTGGTCTCTCCCACAAAGACAAAACAAGAAACAACTGCACTTGGATGAAAATAACTAAAGAGGAGCACTGGTACACATCAAAGGAGTAACAAACACTACTGAGCACAGAAACTCAGAATAGCCACACACAGAACGGAAGGCAATACCTGGCCTCCAACACCCCATCCCCCAACCAGGAGCAGCAGGGAACCAGGAGGAGCGAGAGGACCCCAGCAACCATCATCAATACCTTGGACACCTACCATCCTCATCACTGGGGACCCTGGCAGTCCTCACAGGCACTAAGCCCAGCTGAGGGAGCTGCTTGGAATCCACAGCTGTGCTCCTCCAGATGAGCCAACACTGTGCCTCGCCCTTTGTGGCTCTCAGTGCGACTGCACCATCTTGTAACTGGAATTGCTGCTGGAGGGTGTCTTATTTCGGGGGTGAGTGATAACACATTCATCCCAGAGACTAAGCCAGTATTGAACTGACTTCCCCAAGCCCAGCTGAGAGCAGCTGTTACACCCCACCCTGAGGGACTAGGCAGTGGTAGAACTACTCCACCCATCCCTCCCAGTTGCAGTAGTGCCCTTTCCCCTCAGATGTGAACTACAGCTATGAAGCTGCATGCTTCCTCTTGGGGAATCTTTACCCCTCCCAGTTGCAGCAGTGCCCAGCCCCCCAGGACTGAGCTGAAGGGGCACATCATCCATTGGGGAATTGCTGTTTTGGCCAAGAAGCTGCTTGTCCAAGCTGAGCAGCTGTGCATCCCAGGGCTAAACTGAAGTAGCACCTCATGTCCCAAGGAAACAGAGCAGTGGCTGAGCTGAGACACTCTGCCCTAGGGGCTAAAAAACTCTAGTAATCTGCTTTCCTGGAACTGGACTATTCCCCTAAAGACAAAACTGCTGAGATACCCCTTGCCCCAGGGAGTAAAGTCAGTGCTGTGCTGCTGTCTGCCTCCCAACGCCCAAACAATAGCTGTGCCCTGCCATTCTGGATTCTTGCTGCCACTTCACCTGCCCTCTCAGAGACTAAGATATTGCCAAGTCCCAGCACTCCAGGGATTAGAGATACCACTACAAGGTGCATCACACCCTGAGAATCGAGGGACAACTGAGCCCCATTTGCTCTTGTTCCTGAACTGTAGCCATAATCTGCTCCCTAGGTCCAAACATCCAGTGCACCCCCTTCTGCTCCAGAATTGGGCCAGTTCTGTGCTCAGGGTCAGAGTCACAGCTATAACCTGACCCACAGAGCCTGAGCTGCTGGGGGGCTTCAGAGCCACAGACCCTGGCACTGTGAGCAATTGACATGAAACACTGCTGCAGAGTGAACCTACACCCAAAGATGTAAGTGCCACAATAGGTTTGCAAGATACCAGGCCAGGATCCCAGCTCCACAGCTACTGCAAGCACATGTGCCTGGAAACTAACACCATTGCAGCTGATTGTAGATCAGGGCAGATCCAACACCAAGAGGAATCCTCTTGACAAAGTTGCTCCATTGTGGGAAAAATGAGAACAGGAGGACCCAAAAAGCCTTTCAGAAACTCACTTCACCTGTAAAGAAACACATAGACTGAAAGTGAAGGGATGGAGAAACATATTCCATGCCACTGGAAACCAAAGGCAAGCAGAAATAGCTATTCTTATATTAGATAAAATAGACTTTGAGTTAAAAATTGCAAAAAGAGACAAGGTCATTATATAATGTTAAAGGGATCAATTCAGTAAGAGGATAAAACAATTGTTATTATTTATCCACCCAGAAATATAAAGCAAATATTACTAGATCTAAAGGGAGAAACATACCCCCAATACAATGATAATTGGGGACTTCAACACCCCACTCTCAGCACTGGACAGATCATTTAGACAGAAAATCAACAAAGAAACATTGGATTTAAACTGCACTACAGACCGAATGGACCTTACAAACATTTATAGAACATTTCATCCAACAGCTACAAAATGAGCTTTCTTCTCATCAGTACCTGGAGCACTCTCCAAGACTGACAATTCGTTAGCCCACAAAACAAGTGTCAACAAGTTTTTAAAACTTGAAATCATATCAAGTCCCTTACAAACATTTATAGAACATTTCATCCAACAGCTACAAAATGAGCTTTCTTCTCATCAGCACCTGGAGCACTCTCCAAGACTGACAATTCGTTAGCCCACAAAACAAGTGTCAACAAGTTTTTAAAACTTGAAATCATATCAAGTATATTCTATGACCACAATGGAATAAAACTAGAAATCAACAGAAACTCTCAAAACTGTACAAATTACAGGGAGACCATACAACATGCTCCTGAATGACCAACATGTCAAAAAAGAAATTAATACGGAAATTTAAAAATTTCTTGAAACAAATGAAAACAGAAACACAACATAGCAAACCTATGGGATACAGCATTATTAAGAGGAAAGTTTATTAAAATAAACACCTATATCACAAAAGAAGAAAGATTTCAAATAAATAACCTAACAATAAATCTAAAGGAATTAGAAAAGCAAGAACATACTAAACCCAAAATTAGCAGAAGGAAAGAAACAATAAAGATCAGAGCAGAAATAAACAAAATTGAGACCCAAAAAACAACCCAAAAGATTGGGAAAACAAAATGTTGGTTTTTTGAAAAGATAAACAAAAGTGACAAGCCATTAACTAGACTAACCAAGAAAAAAAAAAGACTCAAGTAAAATCAGAAATGAAAAAGGAGACATTAAAACTGATACTACAGAAATACAAAGGATCATGAGAAGTTATTATGAACTATATGCAAACAATTGGAAAATTCTAGAGGAAATGGATACATTCCTGTACACATACAATCTACCAAGATTGAACTAAGAAGAAACAGAAAACCTGAACAAACCAATTACAAATAACAACATTGAATCAGTAATGAAAAGTCTCCCATTAAGGAAAAGCACAGGATCAGATGACTTTACTGCCAAATTCTAACAAATATTTAAAAAAGAATCAATACCAATTCTTCTCAAACTATTACAAAAAAATGAAAAGAAGGGAACTCTTCCAAACTCATTCTACTAGGCCAGCATTACCCTGATACCAAAATTAGACAAAGACACACACACACACAAAAACTATAGGTCAATATTCCTGACGAACACAGGTATAAAAATACTCAGCAAAATACTAGCAAA